GGGGGGGCGGGGAGGGCGGCTGGGCTGCGCGGGGGGGCGTGACCCCCCGCCCGCGTGCCCCCACCTCAGTGGGGGGACGCCGGCCAGGCCGTTCCCGGCGCGCAGCTGCGCTGGGGGGCGTGAGCCCCCACATAATGTGAATTTTTAAAATTTGTTTTTTAGCTAGAGGGCAGTTGTGCTCAAGAAAGAGGAAAATCATCACCCAGAAGGACATGGTCTTACCAATTTGGCAGGGGTGGGGAGAGAGAGAGGGCAATAAAGTAATGTTCTTTCTCATTTTAATGTTGAGTTCCATTGATAAAGTAGTTGTAGAACTGAAAACTGAGAGGGCAAATTAGTCCTTGTCCAAAGGTTCAAATCTTGATCCTTAGCAAATTGAGAGAAATCCATTTCAGGAAGTTCCAAATAGTCTCATCTGGAAGTTTCTAAGACTGTCAAAAGAGAAGGATGTTTTAGGTAGAAAGAGAAGTTGTAGAGGATCCACAAAGAGGCATTGCCTATTCTAAATGTCATTTTTCCTCTCCATTTCTCCACCTTGTCAGGATTTGGGGCATGTACACACATATTTTTCAAGCTGTGTGGTCTGGATACAAATCATGGTCAATTAGTGGGATGTGGCTTCTGATGCACTCAACCACTGCGCAGGAGGCTGGACCAATGTGATTTGTTTTTATACAAAGTTACTAGTGAGTGCTGGAGAATAGAACATTTTAGTGTGGAAGAAGGAAAAGCATTGCAGTAGCTTAGGTAAGAGAAAATGTTGTCTTAGACCTGACTAGTAGGGCGACATATTGACAGGTAGTTTTAAGATTTAGTATGTAGGCTCAGCAGGTAGCATGGTAGTTAAGGGAATAGACTCCCACATGGCTGATCATGGTTTGAGTCCTGGAACTGGTGGTTTACTTTCTCACTTTTCCTCTTTCTAGTGAGCACACATGACCTATAACAAAATAAAATAATAATAATAAATGAAAAAATAAATAATTCTTAAAAAAAACTTACTATGTAACATTGTGTAAATAAAACTACATGACTTTCTTATAGTTATAATTTAAGTTGTGAAGTTAAGGGCAGGAGATCATTTAAAACATAAATATGGAATACAAAGTAAGTTGGAGTATTGTGAGAGAAAAGGAAAAATATTTGTGAGGTGAAACTGAATATAGATGAAGAAACTATCTAAATTATCAATTGTTGATTTGGTATAAAGGTGCTGGGATGGACTGAATGCCAAGGGATCAGGAGATATTCTTTATGTGGGAGAGTAAGTAAAAAATGAGGAAGAAAGCAAATCTGAATGTATGTACAATTTAGTAGCCTCTCAAAAGTTTGTGGTTCCCTTATAAACTGAAAGTATGCCTTTGTTGGCAAAGGTAGAAACAATCTACAGATATCATCCATTCAACACATTTCCTGATCAAACGGTGGTATATGTGTTTGAGAAGCAGAGGTTCTGAAAGTCTCATTAGGGGCACCAAAGAGCTTCGTCAAATCCTATGTGTTAGCAGAGATCAGGTGGGGTTTACAAAGCATCATCACAGTAACTTAGTGCATGGAATTTAAAATCTCTTGTATTGCCTCTTTAATCAGCACTACAAATCACTTCAACACATGTATCAAAACTCTTCCATCTTTGTGTGAAATACTCTTTGTACTCTTTTCAAACCCATCGTGTTTCAGTGTTCATTGGTTTTAACACTTCTAAATTTGCACATTATATATATATATATATATACAAAGATGAAGACAGTTCTCAAACATAATGACATGGAGGCAACTGAATTTATCCCGCTGGGACTCTGACACGCCAGCCAGAGCTACAGCCCAGCCTTTGTCTGGTGTTACTCCTCATTTACCTCATCACCCTGCCCAGGACCTTTGTCTTGATTTTACAAACACCCATGTATTTTTTTCCCTCACCCACTTGGCATGTATGTGTGTAGTGTTTTATTTTTCCTATTTAACCACCTATTGGGTTTTAGCTTTTACTCACCAGAGAGACAGAGCAACAAAGAGGGAAAATGAGAAATAATCCCTCAGAGGGGATGGCCATACTGCAATCCTCTCTCCTTTATTACCGTTTGTGATTTAGAACACACTTGTAAACACATTCAACATGTTTTTCATGTCACTGGTTCTGGGACTTGAACCTCAGAGTCAGCCGTATGGTTTACAGCACCTTAACCACCACACCACTTGCTAACTACCACAATGAGATTTTTAATTCCACTAATGTCTTTCTTCAGATGTTTGTTAATTTCTTATCTGAGTAGAAGAACATTTCCTACACTGGGTGTCTGGACCAGTGTTTTGTTCTGATGACTCTGCTCTTTACTGAGTATTACATGCTGGGTGCCATGACCTATGACCAGTACATGCCAGTTTGCAATCCCCTACATTACAGCCCTAAATGTTCAGACTCGTTTGCATTTGACTGCTCACTTTCCCCTACATCTGGAGTTCAATGGTAGCTACAATGCAGGTAATATTGACCTCTTGTTTGTCCTTTTGTGGACCCAACACTATTAACCATTTCTACTGTGCTGCCCACCTCTCCTGATGTTGACATGTTCTGACACTTACATAAAGCAAACTGCCATGTTGGAGTCAGCAGGGATCAACCTCACAGGCTCCCTGCTCATCATCCTCATCTCCTACCTTTTCATTTTTATTATATGGATCTGATCTAGTGAAAGGCAGTTCACCTGTTGCTCCCACCTGACCACTGTCTCTATATTCTATGGGGTGTGTGCTCTCACCATAGAGACAGAGAGAGAGACAGAAAATGAGAAATCACCCCCTGGGGGTGTAATTCCTTCTCCTCTAGTCTCCTCTTGGGATCTTGAGCATGCATGCTCACACATTCAGCATGAATTTTAGTAAGTGAGGAGGAAAAGAACAAATATCTCTCTAAGACAGGCTGTCCCACTTTCCCTGCTGGAGCAGTAAACTCTGGGGTTAATTTTTAACACAGATCCCTCTTGAGCCTAGTTAATATTTCCTGTTTGTTTAGTTTCCATGTGGCATGGACAATCCTCCAATTTTGAAATATCCAGCAGATTCCTAACAAGAGAATACATACATAGCTAATATCTGGGGATTAATAGCTGATATTTTATCATTGTGGCATTGTGCCAAGTCCAGGACTCAAACTGTGGTCAATTACATTGGAGTCTAGTAACGTACCATCGCGCCATCTGTTGGTCCCCAAAGTGAATAATACTAAAGTACTAAATATTTAAGGCCATTTAACTAGACTTATGTATGTGTGTGTGTATATATATCATATATATTATACCATAAATATCATATATCATATACATATCATGCATATGTGATTTGTATGGAGCCATCTTCTTTACTAATAATACATTAAGAGTGATAATTATGTATTTTTTACATAGTCATTTATCAATTGAATTTATCATAACAAGTTTTTATTACTACTGAAAAAATCTAATCTAGAAACTAGTAAGTCACAGACATATTTTTGAACCAAAGTAAACATTGGTCTTATTGGTCTAATTGGCCATCCAGAAAGATACATACATATATAGTTCTTTGACTTTTGTTTCTGGGTATTCTCGGGTGTGCAGAAGTCAACTGAAAGATATAAATTTACTCCTAATAAGCTAGCCCTAAGTCATAGCTATTTCTCTGAAAAATATACCTGAAATGAAATTATGCAATAGTTAAATTGGATCCTTACCCTGGAAAAACATAATCAAATGTTGACATTTTATTTTCAAAACTGAGTAGCTTAGCTAGTATTTTTAAGTGGACAAATTTTTTTTCTCAATATTTGCATGATATAAGTTTTGGGAAATGTTTTAGAATTTAAAAACTATGGGGACCAGCAGTAGGTGTAATGGCTATGTTGCTGGAATCCACGTAGTCAACTGTGATTCGAGTCCCTGACCCAGTGGCTTAAGCTCATGCCAGGTGCATGTGTGTGCATGCCCAAGATCCCAAGAGGAGAATGGAGGAGAAGGAATTGTGGGGTGGCCATCCTCTCTGGGGGGTGATTTATCACTTTCTGTCTCTCTGTCTCTCTCTGTCTTTCTGGTGAGCATACATGCCCTATAGCAAAAAAACTCAAAAAAAAAAAAGAAAAGAAAAAGAAATTAAAAACTATGGACAATTTCTTTTTTAAAGTGTGGACAAAAGTGGTTATTTAAAATTTATTTTATTTTATTAATATCATTCTTTTTAAAGAATTATTTTATTTAGCTTTATTTATTTTAATTTGGCCAGAGATGGACAGAGTGAGAGAGAGAGAGAGGAAAGCAAGAAAGCAAGCCACGAGGTCCAGGTCAGCCAAGTGAGAATCCAGTGCCCTTAACCATCATGCCACCTGCCAGACCCTATCATTATTATTATTATTATTTATACATTTGATTGCTATAACACAATGGGTAATTCTTATGTTTAATTTTTTTGGCAACATAATCCCTATAATTTATTCAGGTGTCACAGCCTTCATTCTATATCAGACATTTAGTTACAAATTATTGAACTATTAAAAAAAAGTGTAAAACTAATCACTATTTGATTTTCAGTCTAGCTCTCTATAACACATTATTCACAGGAAATGGGTTTCCAGTGTGCCCATCAGATTAACTTAATTATAGGATTTACCTCTAATTGAGCAAAGACCTTAAATTATTATATTAAATTATTGAACATTAACTGATTCATGTTCAGACTTTATCTGTAATTTTTTAAAAATATTAACATGATATTTGCATGATATAAGATTTTAAATAAAACATTTTGCCCTAAAGATATTTATTTTGAGAAGAAATTACTGGAGAACTGAGAGTCTATGAGTTAACAGAATATATAACTATAGAGTAGTAGTAGTTTTATCCTTTTAAGGGGTTGACTAGGTCCCCACAGACACCTAGTGTGTACAAATGACCAGGTGCCTAAACTGCACTTTTGTGAAAGACTTTTCCCCTTATCACTTGATGCATGGCATGAATCACATCTTTGTTCCTTAGACTATAGATTAGTGGGTTCAACATTGGGCTCACAAAGGTATAAAAAACTGAAAATACTTTGGACTCTTCTAAAGATTTTTCTGAATGAGGCCTTAAGTACATGCAGAAGAGGGTTCCATAAAATATGGTGACCATTGTCAGATGGGAACTACAAGTGGAGAAGGCTTTGTGCCTTCCTTTAGCAGAACGGATTCTCATGATGGCTGCAAAAATGAAAAAGTAGGAGAGAAGAATGATGCAGAGAGAGCTTGAGAAAGTAAATCCAGCTACTATTAACATTGCCATCTTTTTGATGTAAGTGTCAGAGCAGGCCAGCATTAAGAGAGGAGGGTCAGCACAGTAGAAATGGTTGATTTCCAGGGAGCCACAGAAGGACAAGTGAAAAGTCAGCAGTGTCTGGGAGAGTCCATTGAGGAAGCCAAACACGTAAGGGACAGTGACGAGACAGACACAGACGTTCTTGGACATCCTGGAGCTGTAATGTAAAGGGCTACAGATGGCCACGTAGCGATCCAAGACTTTCAGACTTTCTATATCCTCATGGCTCAATCTTGGTAGATTATATATGTCCAGGGATTTGTCTATCTCATCCATATTATCTTGTTTCTTGGCATATACGCATAGGAGATGGTCTTCTGGCCCGAGAGGAAACTGCAGAGCATATTTGGAGTAATATTGGAAGAATAGCAAATGTCTACGAAGGAGAGGTGTCCGAGGAAGAAATACATGGGAGTTTGGAGGTGGGAGTTAGTTCTGATCAGCACAATCATGCACAGATTCCCTGCCAGTGTGATGAGGTAGATCACCAGGAACACCGCAAACAGGATCTTCTCTAGTGCTGGGTCCTCTGTGAGTCCCAAGAGAATGAACTCTGTCACTACAGTGAGGTTCTGGGAGGACATTTTCTGATCTGTTGGAAACTGTAAGGAACAAAGATGTAAGAATTTGTGATCCATGTTGTATGTCTATTTTCTTTTATCATTAATCATTTATTTTTCTGTCTGACATTTCTTCTTCTCTTTCAACAATCAGCAGGACCTCTCCAGTACATTGTTTCCCTATACCTCCGTGTTCCTTGTCTTTCTTTTCATATCTTACACATGTCCTGACACACATGCATACTTTGCCTCTCTCCAACTTTTCTTTCTTTCTCCCACTGGCATGCTTATATATAAATATACACTCATATGTTTACATATTCTTACACATTTTTTTCTATCTGTTTAGGAATCGCCACATTTTGCACCTTTTCAAACTTTGTGGAAATAAAGAAAGCAACGGTGAATTTTAAAATGAATATGAGCAGGTCATTTTCATCATTCAAAATGGATAGGGTCTCTGTAACTGTCATATCCCATTATTTTACACTTAAAAGAGAAGATGAATATTCATTATAGAATTTTCATGTAAAACTGGTAGTTGTCTGGTTTAGATTCATTCAGTGGACTTCATTCAGAGAAATTTTTCTCTTAATGTAAGTCTTAAAAAGATACAGAACAAGAATTGTTCTCTGTAAATTCATCCACTCAGTTATTCATATATGTCACAAAGCCTGAATTTTTTTATGCTAGTTTATGTAGTGGCAACATAAAAAATAACTTTCACTCTCATGGAGTATACATTGTATGGTAGAAAAACAGATTTTGAACACACAAAGTAACACACTGTACTATGAAGAACCATCAAGGCAGGACGTACTTAGATGGCTATGGAAGATATTTCTGAGAAGGTAGCAGTTAAACAGTAAATAAGCTGTGTAAGTCTGGGAAAGATCGTGGAGTTTTAAAAATTATTTTATTTAACTTTATTTATTCATTCATTTATTTATTTCAATTTGACCAGAAAGGGATAGAGAGAAAAAGAGAGAGAGAGAGAGAGAGAGAGAGAAAGCAATCTGCCAGGTCTGATACTCGAACCACAGTCGGCCATGGGGCAGTCCAGCCCCCTTAACCACCAAGCACCTGCCAGCTCCAAGACTGTGGATTTTTTTTTTTGGTTCCATTTTCTCTCATAAAAAATATTTGTTTAGGGATGAATGGATCATATTTAAATATTCCCTCAGCTTCCAGCCCAATTCACTTCTTTGATTATTTGGAAAAGTTTGACTATTAAAATTACTTCTTAAAACTGCATTGTTTAGGCAATAGCAGTTGGCATAATGGCTATGTCACTGGACTCCCTTGTAGTTGACTGCTGTTCAAATCCTGGACCCAGTGGCTTAAACTCACACTGGGTGTGTGTGCGTGCATGCCCAAGATCCAAGAGGAGAATGGAGGAGAAGGGATTTGGCCGTTATCATCCCCTGTGGGAGTTGATTTCTTGCTCTCTGTCTCTGTCTTTCTCTCTGTCTTTCTGGTGAGCGCACATGCCTTATAGCAAAATCCTCTTCATAATAAAAAAAAATTACATTATTTATTTGGTCCTCTTATATGTATATCCAAAGAGGTTGTATGTAATAATATTTATTTTTAAAGATTCAATGAAGTGCTAACATATGAATAGAAAAATCAGATGCAGGTCAAGCTGCAAAGCTGGAGTCATGTGACTGACCAGAGCTAGGATCAGCAGTAGACCTAAAAATGGCAGTTTCATATGTACACCAATGAAGGAACCACAGCAAGGTGAGACACTAAGGGTCTTTCTCTCTCTAGCTGTCTATCACACACACACACATACATGTGCACACACACGTGCATTCTTTCCCTGTCATGAAATAAAGAAACAGAAAAGTAAAAGTCAGGTGCAATCAATAAAAATGTTTTTCCATATATTATTTAAATAGTAATCACACAAAAATACAATACGTACGTTTAGTGATCAAATACAGAAAATCCCTTACCTGTAAATGTGGACTCATCATGTCTGGTAAAAACAAGGTGGGACCATTTATAATGTATCTCCTAATTATGTTCCATAGAGTATTGCAAAAATAGTTCTAAGGTGCCAATTAAACTATTCTATATTCCTCAAGGAAATAACCTTAATTCGATTCATTGAAGAGCTAGATTCTCCTTTGAGGCCAGGAGCCATATCTAACCTTTGTGTACTTGGCTTAGGGTAGGTGTGCAGAATAGCTATAACCCAAACAGGGAATTAAGCCATCACTTTCAATAATAAAGAAAGGGAAATATAAGAAGGTAAGTTTTGTGTTTTTAATACAGTAAAGACAAAGGAATTTCCATCAGAAGTCTTTAGTTTTTCTCTATAAACACTGAGGTAAGGTCATCTAATGAAAGCGAGGGGTTGGAAGGTGATAGCTGACAAATTTGAAGAAAGGGAAGACTTGAGAGTGTTTGAAAAAAAAAGTGACATAATCAATTAAAGAAAGACATACATATAAGAGCTGAAGGTGCTCTGCAGGATGGACATTATGATTTTTGCTGGACCTTATTTGCCTTATCAAGTAAATGCTATCAACCTACTTAGAATCCAAGACAAGTCTGAGAACCATTAATTTATAAAACTGATGATTAGTAGAATTGGTGATGTGAGACGAAGTTTGAAAATACAATATATACCATATCTATATACACACACATATATATGTATACACACATATGTATAAATATACACACACATATATGCACATGTATATCCTAAAGGGTTCTTGTACTAGCTAGAGCAAGACAGGGAGTAGGAAGAAGTGAGGAAGTACCCACCATTAAAAATGGTCACATCACAATCCCTTCTCTTTTTTCTATCTCCTTTTGGGATTTTGGGCATGTACACATAAGTCTGAAAAGTTTTTCAGGCTGCTAGGTCCAGGACTTGAACTGAAAAGTCTGTCATGTGAGATCCAGCTCAGATAACCACCAGGACACCAGGAGGACCTAGAATAATAATAATAAAAAAATTAACATTGGCTGTCATTTGATAAAGAATCTAGAAATACTTTTATTAGTCTACATCTTCCAGTGCACAGATAGTTCTATAGGTCAGTACAATCAAATGAATCAAGTGTAGCCTGCCAAGACAGAAGGCGTGCACTAATTTTATTAGATTTCATTTGATTTTTCTTTCTCTCGCTCTCTGTCTCTCTCTCTCTCTCTCTTTTTTTAAGAGATTTTTTTTGTTTAGGGCATGTGCTCATGCTAGAGAGAGAAAGTGAAGGGAAAGTGAGAAATCACCCCATGGTGGATGGCCATACCACAGTCCTTTCTCCTCCATTCTACCCCTGGGATATTGGGCATGCATGCAGACACACCCAGCATGAGTTTCAAGACATCAAGTCTGGAACTCAAAATGCAGTCAACCATGTGGGAGTCCAATATCACTATTTCATTTGCTGGCTCTAATTTTATTATATTTTGTTTTGTTTTGTTTATCATTATTATTTTATTTCAATTTCTTTTATACATTCAATATGTTATTTAGCTTGCAAAGTGAATACCCCAACATGTGTACATGTCTCACCAGTACAGTTGACAATAGTATAAAGTTATCTTCAACAGACAATAACCCATTTCTTTGTCCCATAATTGTCTTGCCTTTCTATTTTTCTCCTTAACATCCTTCCTCAGACCCAACGTCCTTCTTCACCCATCCTCTTCCCACACTCGATTTTATTAGATAGATTTCTAAATGATGAGTTATGCTGTGGAAAATCAGTTCATGGGATAAAGCTTATTTCAATGCAAAGATGTTTACATCATAAAATTTGAACATTTCTCATTTATTTTTTCCTCAAATTGAGGTGAAAAATATTCACCCCAATTTCTCTGTTTTATCTTGATTTTTTAGACAAATTAAAACAGTACTTCTTTTTAAATAACAGTCTAAGTAATTCCATGGAATGAAAGTTCTTTAAAAATTGTAAAACAGGTATTCTAAATTTCCTGATCATTTCATATGAACCTCCCCTTTCTTTACAAAGTAGGGGACAGATTTCAGACTACATTAAAATTGTCTGAAATATTTATTTATTTACTTATTCTATTTTACAATATATATTAATATACTACATTATTACATTGTAATGAACTTTAAGAATTATAAAAAAGCCTTTATTTTGTTTTGCTTGGAGAGGTTTTGCTTTAGGGCACGTGCGCTCACCAGAAAGACAGAGAGAGACAGAAAGTGAGAAATCACCCCCCAGAGGGATGACCATACCACAATCCCTTCTCTTCCATTCTCCTCTCAGGATCTTGGGCACACACGCTCATGAGCCTGGTGTGAGTTTAAGCCACCAGGTCTGGGACTCAAACCGTGGCTGACTACATGAGAGTCCAGTGACATAGCCATTATGCCAATTGCTGATCCTCAAAAAAGCTTTTTGAACCAGAAATAATGCTAGCTTAATAGTACCAAAATGAATATTAAAAAATAGTTACTTAGCTGTTTTAGACCAGAAAGGGTAAAGTATTGATTCTTTTTAGTATGGCATCACATGATCAAAACTCCACACTAAAAAGGAAATGTTGTTGCTTTTATTTTTTAAATAATTCTTTTATTTAACATTACTTATTTGTTTGTTTATTTTAATTTGACCAGAGAGGGACAGAGACAGAGAGAGAGACAAAGTGAGAATGCAAGCCACCAGGTCCAAAACATGAACCACAGTCGACCATATGGGAGTCCAGAGCCCTTAACCACCACACTACCTGCCGGCCCCATGTTGGTGCATTTATGTAGCAATGAATATGATTAGAAGACACAGACTCTGACTCAGTGTAAGATACTAACTCAAAGAGTTTTATTCATTCTTGTTTTCTTTTTTCCTAGAAAGGCTTCAGAAGGCTCTGTATGAATTTTTCTTGAAGAAATTCATTGCTAATTAATTCATTTTGCTTCAATTGTGGTACCAGAAGATATATACCTGCTACTGTTGCCAAATAACTGGCTATGTGAATGTCACTATGATTAGATAATTGGATCCATTTTCTTCCCTCCTGTAAGATTTTTA